AAATGAACATCATGCTGTATTGAAGAAGACTTGAAACTAGAGATTGGGTTTATCAGCTGCCTTAGTTGTTTTATTGTTGATTGTTTTCTTATCATGGGTTTTGCTGACGAGGGAAATACAGTTCATCACCAGACTAATCCTTTCAGTTTAAGTAACATTAGTTTTTACCAGTTCCTGCTTTAACAGCCACTGGGACACGGCCGTGCTGCACAATTCCACCTCTGGACATCACCTACGAAGAAACAACACTTTAATTAATTAATTAAATGCGTATTTTTCACAAATGTAGAAATTCTTTATTAGGAATAAGTGGGTCCTCAACGACAATTATACAATGCAAGCACAATTAGACAAAACATTTAACAAAAAACTAAAATAAGATAATTAAAACGAAACAAAATATGACAAAAACATGAAATAAAATGAAATAAGAGAGCATGGAAATGGATAATTCTTTCATAGGTTATAGAAAAGCATTAATGTCAGTGATAGCATTAAATAATTAAGTCATAAGACGTAATTAGAGAGACATGCACAGCTGGTCCTATAATAAGAAGCATTTTTGAACAGGCGGGAAGATGATATGGAACGAACATTTACAGGTAGATTATTCCAATCAGAGGGAGTTTTGAACATGAAGGCGTTCTTAGCTATTGACTTAGCGAAGAATAAATTCTGGAATACATTTTTATACACAAGTAGGTGCAGTTCCTTTTTGCAAAAAGCCTTTAAGAGAGTCATAACGTAGGCAAGATGTGTGATCCAAGTCATTTCTTTTTAAACATGATGTATGTAATTCTGACAGGAACTCAATAACAAGAGTCTTACCAGGTAAAAGAATTCGAGGACTTCCTGGTTCTTCTTTAGCTCCTCCCCCTGGATGATGTACTGAGCGCGCACCGTCTCATCTTTGTCACAGGCGAACTTCCCGCTCACCTGCATGAGCTTCAGAAAACTACTGCTCTTGGAGTAAAATGGTTCGACGTTGTGGAAGGCCGGACTGTACTCCGGTCTGCGCACATTGCCAACATACTCCTCAGTCTCCTCCTTGCTAGAAGTCGCCTGTTGACACAACAACCACAAGTCAAAGGATCACATTTCACACCACACTCTTATTATTACCAATAAACCCACAGTAAACCAGTTCTCAAAAAAAGGTTGTTCACCTCCAACATGATCGATACGGTGGAAAGTTTCTTTAAGTAGATATGGATTGTATAACAGATGAATACTGATTTGGTTATTAATAGGAACTGAATTGATTCTTCAGAACAAACAAACAGTGACCAACCTTCATATCCACAGTGTCCTTCCAGAGGGTTGTGTCCAAAGAAAATGAAGCCGTGCCTCTCGCGTCCGTAGTGAGCGTTAATTTTAGAGAGTTGCCGGTAAACAGATGCACCGTCTCGTTGGCGACAGGTGTTTTGTCTGGACCGATCACTTTGACCTGCAAAACAAGTCAGAAAAGCAGAAGCTCAAAATCTGAGGGGTTCATCCTCTGGTGAGCAAGAATGTGATCAGTTTTATGTTATCTGACCATCATCTTCTTTAAATATTTGATGTGTACTGCTGTCTGCTGGAAATTATGACCTGGTGGTTGCATTCCAAGAAGGATTAACTTATAAGTAACCAACCACAGGAGACCATGAATATTAACCTCAAATTTCACAGATATCTTGTCACGCTACCTTGTCATGGACGTAGTCATGTGGAAATATTGATATGCTGGCGGTGCTAAAGGCATCAGGAAAAACACAGATTTATCCTCTGGGGATCCTAAATATCATCACCGTAGTCCATTATTTCAATCAGGGTTATTTCTGCTCGATGACAATCGTGACTGAGGTTCATGCGTTTTGTCCCAGCATCAAAGTTGAAATAATTAAAATGGATCGTAACGTTGTCCTGGAGACTCTTGAGAACGTTAAAAGAAAAAAGTTTTAAATAGAAGTCTGCGTTGCTGAAACACACTTCAGAACTTAAATGCTGCTGAATTCCTCCTCTGGGGACCATGAATGTCCGTACAAATATTGTTTTGAGATGTTTCAGTCTTCGCAAACACCAAGGATATAAAGAAATATTCTTTATTTTGCTGTGCTGACAGAAGGCTACAGCATTGGTCTTCAATGAGACGGATTACCTTTCCCTCAAATGGGATGCCAGGCTTGTAGGCAGCAGGTACGTCCTCAAAGGTGACCTTTCGGATCTTATTGCTGAAGCTGGTCTGCCCACTGCCTTTAAGAATGACCCCTAGATGGTAGTAGACATAAAGATCACAGATCCATCAGGAACTAGCGCCGATTACTCAACGATCCGGTCAACCCTCGACGTGTGTTCATTCGACCTACCTGTGCCGTACTCCTCCAATTCAGCAATCACCTCATAGTTCTCCTCATACATGTGCTTGTTGAGGGAAAACTCTGTCATGTTCACAGTTTGTGTGGCACAACCACTTTTATCCGTCTAGAAGATAATAACACGAGTCAATTTCAAACAATTTGTGAAAGAAAACGGCGCTTACAGCAAGTCAAAGTTTATATCTGAGGTACTGACCGTCATTTCATACGTCTTGCACAGGTCCTTTTCTTGGTCAGATAAATACCAGTATAACTGGACGGCTTTTCTACAAAACACTGCCTTGACTGAACCAACAACAGGTTTCCCATAGGTGTATCTGCAAGGAAAACGCATAAGGATGCAGAGATGACTTTCAGAAATTAGATTTTAGCATTTTAGGTTAGTATCATCCCATAGACAGCAAGTGTGGTATTGAACTGTGGTATTCATTGAGAAATTAACACAATATCGATCATAAATTCTTAAACTCGGAAAGTCGGACAAACTCTCACCAACCCAGACCTCAAAATCCATGATGGCCGCTACAGTAAACAGTAAAAAAAGTTGTGGTAATATCATAAGACTGTATATAACAAGTGGACGTAGTCATCATGACGCCATCTTGGATTACAGCCGTCGCAACCAGTGAACAGGAAGTGATTAGGACTGAGGAGGAGTGACGTAGAGACGCCTTATACGTCTCTAGTAGAGAACTGTCAATCACTGTGTAGTCCCGCCCTAAAGCATCCCCTGCTTTATG